TCCATGGCCTAGAGGCCAGCCAGGCATTCTAGGGGAAAGAGCAGCTCAGACAGAGAAGGGAGCACCAAGGGTGTTTGGAGGATCCTCCCAGCATGGGAGATGCATGTTGAAAGTAGACTATGGAACGAACATGATTGCCACTCAATGCCTCTTTTTCAGAGAGAGAAAACAAAAGGGAATGCCCTACCACAGAGGCAGGGTGGGATGGAGGAGATGGGGGTTGGGAGGGATACTGGGATCCATGGTGGTGGAAAATGGGCACTGGTGGAGGGATGGGTATTTGATCATTGTATAATTGAAACCCAAGCACAAAAAATTTGTAAGTGTACAACTGTACCTCATGGTGTTCCACTAATAAAAACATAATAATAATAAAATCTCAGGGCTGGGACGAATGGAGACGTTACTGATGCCCACTTGAGTAAATCGATGAACAACAGCATGACAGAGACAGTGATAACAAGAATCAAGTTCTTAAATTATGTAGACTTAATTTAAATATGATATGCAATTAAAAAACCCTCCAAACAGTTTTTATGGAAAAATCTATTGTTAATGTTACAGGCTCATTGCTAGATCACATATTTACTAGATCACAAGTAAGCACTATTAAAGGCTGCACTGTCGTGAGAAGTCATGTGCCCAGCCTCCTGGAGGAAAGATTAACAACAAACACACAGGAAGTAACAATTTAGAGAAGTGTCAGGAAGACAAAAGACAGTTCAGTAATAGCGAATGGCAAGAGGAGAACTGATTCAATCATTCACTGAGTGGTCCATAACTGCCTTAAAGATGAAGAGGATGAGATGGGCTAGACAAAGACATCGGCAGAGTAGCCGAAGCAAAGTCCAGCAAATGCCAGAGCTCAGGGCATGAAGGAGCTTGGCTATTTCCTTGAAAGTAGGTACGGTTGCTTGGATTAAAGCACATGTGTGTTTGCAGTGTGAATGCATGTGCGTGCGTGCGTGCGTCCACACACGCACATGTGTGTGTGTGTGTGTGTATGTGTGTGTGTGTGTGTGTGTTGGAGGGGTTGTAGGAAACTTGATTAGACTGATGCACTGGTTTCAGATGATGAGTCTTACCAGCCAGAATAAGAATCTAGGTGTTAGGAGAAGTACACTGTGTGTCAAATATCCCAAGTGTAGAGAATTATTATTTGATGCATTTCCCCAAGAACCTTATTTTGCTTTGTGGCTTATGAGATGTGTGAGTATGTGCCTGCGTGTTTCTGTATTTATGCTGAGGAGTAGAGTAAGTGAGACAGGTTGAAGGATCATGAGAATCACCCAGTCAAAGGGAATGATGTCTTGTATCGTAGATGGAGACAATTGAATACATTTGAAGTAATTTTTTGATGAATAACATTATTAATTAACTGATGCATTTGATAATAGGTTTAAGAGATAATCAGAAATTAAAGATAAGTATTCAGGGTTTTGTTGGCAACTGGGTTTATCATGGTGCTGTTTGCTCAGGTCAGGTTTTGGACAGAATCAGGTTTCATAGGAGATCATGTTCACTTTGGACACCTAACACCAAAGTACTGTAAAATGGATGGATTCATTACGCATTGAAAAACTTCACAGAATGCCAGACATTATGTGTTGTGGGTATCCAGTATCCACATATATATTGCATATATATTTATGTAATTAGATAATAAATTTTAAAGTGTTAAGAAAGGATATCAAAATGATTCAGTCCAGCTTCTCCATTGTAAAATTAAGGGAGAAAAAGTTGATTCATTTATTTCCCTAGAAATATCAACGTGCTTATTAAATTTATGACTATTTCAGTGAAATACTTACTGAGCAACAATTGTATATGTTCTCCTTGAGGAATATAATTTGTTTTCATTTTTTTTGTTTGTTTTTTGTTTGAGCACATCTGGCTGTGCTCAGGGCTTGTTCCTGACTGCACTCAGGAATCACTCCTGGTAGGTTTGGGGGACCATATAGGATGCCAGGGATCAAACTGTGTGTCGACCGCATGCAAGACTTGCATATTGTACTATCTCTCCAGCCCTATTCCTGTGTTTAAATTATTTTTTTTATAATTATTTAAAATGCTTTTTTGTCCCTTTTGAAGTTGTAAAATTAAAAGCATTAGAATCAGGACTTCAGAGGGCACTATTGCCATTGGCATTAGCCAAACTTATAAGTATTATTTGCAAGAAGAAACTCCTATTAATGTGCACATACTTTTTACTAAGCAGTAGTGGTAGGCAAAAGGGAAGTTGGGTATGTGTACTTTTTTATATTATTGATGGGGATTGCTAATTACCTTGAATATTTTAGAGGAGATTTTTCAAACCTAATGGAAAGAATGAATAGGAAAGGAGAATAAAACATGCATATGAAAAGAATAAAACAAAGCCCCCAAACAAGAATTTGTGTTGTGCAATGAATTCTAGATTTGTTTGTTCATGCAAATTTATGTGCATGTGTTTGTGATGGAATATTGTTTAAAGGTCTTTCTCCACTTGGGACAAGAGAGATAATACAGTGGGGCACTTGCATTATACATGAATGATCCAGATTTATTCCCCAGCACCAAATAGTTTTCCAGGAGTGATCCCTGAGCACAGAGCCAGGAGTAATCCCTGAGCAGTGTTGGGTGTACCCCACATGAAAATAAAATAATAACAGTAAATACTATTTTTTAAAGGTGTTAATTCAATGTTATATGGTTAAGACATTTGGTCAGAGAATAAATAAGTGGGATGATATAACAAGTTCTGTGCATAACAAGCTCTGTGTATTGTTCTGTATAACAATTTAAATCACTGCCACTGTCACTGTCCTCCCGTTGTTCATCGATTTGCTCCAGCGGGCCCAGTAACGTCTCCATTGTGAGACTTGACTTGTTGTTACTGTGTTTGGCATATCGAATACATCACAGGTAGCTTGCCAGGCTTTGCTGCGTGGGAGAGATCATTTCAGTAACTTGCCGGGCTCTCTGAGAGGGGCGGAGGAATTGAACCTGGGTTGGCCGGGTCGACCACATGCAAGGCAAACGCACTACCCACTATGCTATCGCTCCAACCCAACAATTTAAATATCAGTAGAAAAATTGTTCAGGGTAGTCAAACTTTTAACTAAATATGTTTTGACTAAATTCTACCTAATATGTTTTTTTAATAGCATTTAGTATTATGGCATTTATTGTTCATTTGCAGTGAAGTGTACTTGGCTCTTTATACCAAGTCAAGTACTGTGGAATGAAGAGATGAAAGTTCCTGCCCCAAGGGCATAACAAACTTGAAGCACCAGGCATGGATCCAATCTCTTCACACACATGCACACACAAGAGGGGAGAATGTTTCCTGCGAGTAGTTACGAGCAAAGGGAGTTTCAAAAGGTTTGTTTGAAAGGAGGACCTGTGAATTAGGACTCACTCTGTCCCTAGAAGAAAGGAAAGAGTCTTTTCTCTGAATGAGACGGAAACAGACAGATAGTTCTCAGGACCTGCTTGAAGTGAGCCGTCTCATACAGTGGGATTTCAGGAAGCACAGCAAGGGAGTAATCAGAGGTCAAAGGTAACAGAACCTGAGAATTGACTGGTTTAGGGAACTGAGCTTACCGTAGCAGGGAGATGGGGTGGGATACAGCGTTTGAAGGGGGAACCCTGAGACAGTGGGAGAGGGAAGCAGACACTTGTGGAGGGTGTTGAAATGTATGCATGAAGCTGTTCCATAAACAATATTGCAATCACGGTGCCTACAATATAATTTTAAAAAGTAAATTAGTTTAAGGAGAGGATGGTAAATGCAAGGATAGGGCAGATTAAATGCATGCATGAAAGGCAAATTACTGAGAAGGTTGAAGTTATCAAAATAAGATGCATAAGGAAATTCTGCTGGGTCTCTTTTATTTGAATATCAGGACTAAAGTTAAAATAAATTAAAAATCCAATGACAGAAAGGTTGACTGTGTCTTCAAGGGAAAAAAAAAAACAAGGCTGGATAAATGGAACTCTAGGAAATATATAATGAGGAATGTGTACATATGACTCAACTGAAAAATCAGGGATGGAAAGGAAGATGATGTCGAGAGCATGTCTTCTGGAATTAATCAGAAATAATATGGCAGGAACTTATGACCAAATATATCAGAGGAGAAATATTCTGTTTTGTTAATCAGTTTGTATCTTTAGGTCCATATCAAAGTCTCAGGTAAAAGTGGACTTCTCACCTCCTACTTGATAAGTGTATTTTTTTTTTTTGCTTTGTGTAGAAGGTACATTTTTGCACTCTTTTGCATACAACCTAGAACTGTTTTTTCTTTGTCATGCAATTGACTGGAGGGTACTCCTTACTCTCAAAAATTAAAGGAATTTTCAGAGGAGGAAATTGACCAATCAAGTATTTTTTAAACTTGGTTTTGTTGGTCTGTTTCGTTCCCTTAAATTTTTAAAGCTACACTAATTTCTGATTAGTCAAAGAAAATTTCAAGGGGCTACTTAGAGTAAAGGAGGCAGAAACATCTTGATAAATTTCATGTATGTTCAACTAAATATCTTCCATTGAGGCTTTTAAAACAGTCCCTTTAAACTTTAACACATGCCAAGCTCATGTTTGCTTGGATAGTCATAGGCCTGTACAGTTGGTCTCCAATAGTATGCCTGGCCCCCACAGAGGCCCATTGTCAGGAGAATTAGGATTTTGTTAGCAATTTTAGTTCGCTTTTACAAGCTGCTTCTTTGTGTATTATCACTAGAACTTTCCCATCCTTAGTTCTCTGCAGAACAAGGTTTAATATCTCTCAGCAGCTGACTAGCTTATTGAAGATGACACAATAAATCTGCTCCAATTACCTTAGGGCATATTGCTGTCAGGGTGCTTAGCCTCTGGAAATTTGGCAAGAGAATTAATATGCATTTTTCATTCCTCCTGCTGCTTTGATTTTCTTAAAGAACAGAGGTGATTAAAAAGGAAATTGAACAGAACAGAAAAATCTTGATATTTCCCCCCCTTCTTTTTCTCTCTGGTTCAATAGGAAATTCCATCAGATTGATAATGGAGGAGAACAATGATTCCACGGAGAACACCCAGCAAGGCCCAGGGCGGAACAATGCCGTGAAGTGTGGGTGGCTGAGGAAGCAAGGAGGTTTTGTCAAGACTTGGCACACGCGCTGGTTTGTGCTCAAGGGAGATCAGCTCTATTATTTCAAAGATGAAGATGAAACCAAGCCCTTGGTAAGTAACAGAAAATACCAACGTCCCTGGGCTTAAACAATACAGCAAGTATAAAAGGGTTTTCTAGAGTCCCAGGACGACTAAGGCCAGAATCATCTTTCTGGTGTCCTGCAGTTCTTTGGTATCATTCACACTTTTTCTTATTGTTTATTTTGGCGTAAGGTGATGAACTTGCTAACTGAGGCCAAAAGGCAAAGTGTTACTTGTCTAATATTAATTTTGCCCTTTACTAAGCTGGAATAGAATGTCTGAATCCCTCAGGCAAACTTACATCATGAGAAACTTTAATGGACCTCCGCGTGGGGGTATAAAGTAATAACCAAAATGTCGTTCCTTCTCTCAGTAATAATTGGAAAGCACGTTGTAGAAGAAAGGTAGGAAATGTAACTTGAAGTCATTTCAGAAACTTAGAATTGATTCTTCACCTTTACTTGCATAAGATACGGTTCTTTCATTAAACAACAACCAAAAAATTGAGACATCTGACCAGTATACATAATACACACCTCTGGTACTCGTTTCTGTATTTCTTTGTGGTTCTTTAGTTGTCTTCTTTTTGCTTATTTTCCTGTCACGTTTTTTTCTAACTACAAATCTCTTTACTGCAATGAGAGAGAGGAAAAAATATCCATCTCTCTCTCTCCATTTCTCTCTCTCTTCCTCGCTCTCTCTTTCTGTCTCTCTCTCTCTCTCTCTCTCTCTCCCTTCTCATTTTTGGGCCATACCTAGCTCTATATGGTGGATCTAGGGACCATATGTGGTGTTGGGGATTGCACCCACTCTGGCTGTGCACAAGGCAAGTGCATTCCCCGCTGTACTATTGCTCCAGTTCCTTTTCATCTCTTGTCATAGTTGCAACAGGCTTTACTATCTTTGATCATCATCATGAATTCAAGGAGATGCAACTGGGACCTTATCTCTGTTAAGTATAAATATAAATGTATCTTCTTGCTACATTTATAGGGAATATAAATAAGAAAATACATATTTTAAGTTGTTTGAATAAACACCCGTAAAGTGTGATCTTGAGACAGTTTCTCATGTGTTAAAGTTCAAGAACTTCATTGGGAATCAGGACACTGCTATAATATTTTCAATTCCTCAGGCTTTATGATTTTATAAAGTCATCTAATTGAATTACATAAAAACAATTGAAAATACATAGTATTGTGAAAACCCAACATTTAATAAATTCTGTTATTTTATTAATCTTTCACCAAGGTCAGGCATCAGACCAAGAATTTATATGTATAATTATTGGAAATGATGCCTAGAGCGATAGCACATCAGGGTAGGGCGTTTGCCTTGCACACTGCTGATTTGGGTTTAATTCCTCCATCCTTCTTGGAGAGCCCGGCAAGCTACCAAGACTATCCCACCCACACGGCAGAGTTTGGCAAGCTCCCCATGGTGTATTTGATACGCCAAAAACAGTAACAACGTCTCACAATGGAGACGTTACTAGCGCCTGCTTGAGAAAATTGATGAACAATGGGAGGACAGTGCTACATTATTGGAAATGTTTAAAACAGTTCTAGAAGATAGGATCATGCCCATGTCTCTATCATGAAAACATAAGATTTAGGAGTAATGTTGACAAACTTCCCTAAAGTAAACAAACTCTGGTGCAGTTTTGTCTCTACACGAAGCCCTGCTTTAAATTGGTCAAGTCCAAGACCATATAAATTAATAAGAGCATCTCATACTGAAAGAAAGATAATATTAGTGTATCTCCGTAAACCTTATTGCATTTGTCATTGCAAGCCAGGGCCACTATTATTACAGATAAAGATAATGCATTTTGGAGATATGACATGATATGACCAAGGTCATATAAAAATAGAGGGAAACTGGATTCTTTTTTTTATATATATCATATAACATTTTAAGGCATTATTTTAAAAGGCCCTCCCGTTGATCGTCGATTTGCTCGAGCGGGCCCAGTAACGTCTCCATTGGAGACTTTGTTGTTACTGTGTCTGGCATATCGAATACTCTCGGTAGCTTGCCGGGCTCTCCGAGAGGGGCGGAGGACTCGAACTCGGGTCGGCCATGTTGGCTGCTTGTAAGGCGAACGCCCTACCGCTGTGCTTTTTATTTTAAAAGTTAAAATTATTCTTTCAAAACTAAGAAAGAGGGACTAGGGGAGTCTGAAAGAGCTGTAGAATATGAGTCATTCAGTATGGGAACTTGGCCATGAAGGACATAGTGAAAGAAACAAGATTCGGTGTTTTATTCTACAAACTCTTATGCTGGCATGGTATAGGTGGGCTGGTTGTTAAACAAATTAGGTACAAAGAAAGTGATTCATTTTGTATGATGTAGCCATAGGAACTGAGTAGGGATATGAAGAAAGACAACCAAACTTTGTGATTTGGGTGAGTTTAGTGTTTCGTATAGTATTGCAGATGGCATGCAATAAATTTTGTTAGATCACAGGCAGTGAGCCTAAGCTTGATGAACTCTGCCCTATGTTGTTCAAAGAGTATTTGTCATTGCAAATACTGGAAACGGAAATATCAAAATGTTTTGGCTACATTCCTCTACGTAATTCTCAGAAAGTCTATAGTCATCAGTAATATTTAGTATAATGTATTTATTTTGATAAGAGTTTTATATATATAAAAAATTCAAAGCTCATTCAAATGAAATTCTTAATGGCAGGAAAACCTAATTCTAAGAGGATATTTCTAAAAATAGTATTGATATTAGCATATTAGTAGTATTTGCAGAGTTAAACTAATTAAAATGAACAAAATTGAGTACTGTTAACAGGAAAGTACTAATTCCTGTGCTAACTAAAGATGGGCTATTTTGGAGAAGAGTACAATTTTCTCCATCACACTCAAGGTGCTGAGAACCTACGTTAATAAATGTAAATTTTTCAGTTGGCTCATCTTACACATGTGCCGTCATCAACATTTTATCTGTACTAGAATCTAATACAGGTGTCTTGGTGAAGTTTATGTTTTGAACCAGTTATTAGTTTTATAAGGGATCACTAAGTCAGTAATGATTGGACGGATCAATTGGGATGGGAGATGTGTACTGAAAGTAGATAAGGGACCAAACATGATGGGGCTGAGTGATAGTACAGCAGGAGGGTGCTTTTGCCTTGCACACGGCTGTCCTGGGTTCAATCCCCGGCATCCTATATGGTCTCCCGAGCACTGCCAGGAGTAATTCTTGAATGCAGAAGCAGGAGTAACCCCTGAAAATTGCTGGGTGTGACCCAAAAAGTGAAAAAAAATAAAGGACCAATGTGATGGCCTCTCAGTATCTGTATTGCAAACCATACTGCCCCCAAAGTAGAGACAAGATTAAGAAGGAAATTGTCTGTGACAGAGGCAGGGAGTGGGATTGGGTGGGGGTTGTGGGAGGGATTCTGAAAACATTGTTGAGTGATGGAAAATATACACTGGTGGAGGGATGGATGTTCGATCATTTTATGACTGAAACTCAGTCATGAAAGCTTTATAACTGTATCTAACGGTGATTCAATACACACACAAAAAAAGCACATTGGATGTGTGCAGGGAATTTCTCAGCACATGCTATGCAATGAAACAAATAAACAAACAAACAAACAAATTGCAGCCTGCATTCCAAATACACCAAAACCAAATACACAAAAATTTGAGGATGTGAGAAGTGTTACTACCATTTTCTTTCTTTGTTTTTTAGAACAAAGGCAAAAATACACTAGATTTCTCTCTCTCTCTCTGTGGCCAGAATTGATTTCTCAAGGCATCTTTCCAGTTCCTAGCCAGTGCTGTCCTGATAATAGGCTTTATCGTTCCTTTAAAAACTATTATTTTATGCTTAAAAAATCCTTTAGAATCTACAGTTTTTTTTTTTTTTGAGGGAGGCTGATTTGGAACATTCTTGGTGGCACACAGGGCTTATGCTTGTTTCCACACTCAGGGATCACTCCTAGTGGTGCCTGGGGGGTCTTATACAGTATCAGAGATAGAACGGGGGTCAACTGTGTGCAAGGTAAATGCCTTAACCTCTGTACTAATTCTCTGGCTCTTTTCCTGCCTTTTTTATATGTGAGAAATCAATTAAACCAACTCTATCTCTAGAAATATTGTCTGTAGAGTTTTTCTTATACAAATATATATTTTATTAAGAAAGATTATTCAAAAGTTAATGTTGACTGCTTCTGAAAATATACAGAAAGTTACATAGTTCATTGATTTTGAATATGTATTAATATACTCTTGTTTCTTTTACTCATAAGTTGCTCTGTTATTTTTAGAACTTCTTCACTTTTGTATAACTATTTTTAATCTTAAAATAGTCATATTTATCTGTGAAGAAAATAACATACTCTAATGAAATGCTTCCATCTGCACTACATACTTCTGGACTTTTTGAGTAAATATTTCAAAGTGTGTTAAAACTGATTTAAGGTGAGATTATCACAGTGCTTTCTTGACTACGTTCTATTAATAATCATGCCAAGTGGATTTGGCCTTAATTGCAGATACTATAACATAAGAGAAACAGTTGAGGAAGAGCTAAAGTCTGAATATTATAGTATTCTAAAAATAGGGAGATAAATAGGACAAATGTTCTAGTCATTTTCAGAGTGTAAAGATTTGTCTCTATTGTGAATAATAGAATTAGTTATTCAACAGCTGTCTCACTTTTGATATTAAGTACTTAAAATATGCTAGATAGTAAAGTATGACATTAGAACACATAAAATTTATAGAAGAGCAAATTCAGATAGACACAGGCATAATTAACTAGTCTAGACTTTCGAGGCTAGATGAAAGATTCTTTTCTGGACAAGATGAAAATTACATTATGTCGTGTCCCTATTAAAAATGGACCTTTGAAATATGAAAAACAAAGTAATTTTGAATGAATTATAACTTGACGGATGAACTGTAAATGTGCAAAAATTGATTTCTGATCCTACAGTAAGGTTTAATTTTATACAGTTGATGAAACTAGAGAGTTAATAAAATCTAGAAAATATCTCAGTCTGT